AAATGGTTTAAAACTCGGTGTACAAGTGCCAACAATAAAACCCATATGTTGGTTGTGAAACAAACTAAATACATTCCTCTCAATAATACAGGGAAGCTATGACATTCTCACATTTAGGGTCTCAATACACTGAAGAGCTTAAGTTTTGAATTCCAACATAAATCTTGCCTATAATGGGAGGAATGTGACCATGAATAATCTTTTAAGTGGTGTAAAGTAATTTTCTTTGTAATTTAGGGTGTCTGTATCATTTGGTAATCTCTTCTAACAGGATGTATCAAGTAACTAGGGTCATGCAGTGTTATTCAAACTACCTGTACTGTAAACTATTAGTATTACATACATTCACTAGTATTGGCAATTAGTTTTGTCTGTATAGTGAAACAACATACTAGGATAAATAAACTTGTTTGAAAGTTCAAAGAAATTATATCCAAGTACCGAAAAGCTTTCGTACTCTCATATCTACAGTAATGTTGAAATGCTCCTGTGCTGGACTGAACGAGAGTGATCACCAACAGTCACGATAGTTTACGGCAAATGTACAAAGTTCACGCTGCTAACCTCACGATTTATTAGGCACAATAAACATAAACTTGAAATAAAAATACATTTATGTTTTTTATGTACATATATAAACATGAAATCCAATTTAAAGTTAAAAATACTCATTTATTGTTTAGGTTTACTCAGAAATATTTTTTGGGTCATGTGTATTACTTGAAACTATGAGGAGAGTACGTGATTATTAAAAAAATTAAAAATGGATAAAATTTGCATTTCGTGGATTATACAAAGTTGGGGGATTTTAAAACAATGTTTTTTTTAATATTTACTTTTAAATTAACAAATCGAGTAATGTATAGTTCTAAAATTTGAATTATAATCAAGAGTTTGATATCAAACTTACTGACATAAATTCATAAATAGTAATTGAATAAAATTCTGAATACGAGTCAACAAACACGATGACATGCCTTTGACCCATGACAATAAGGTTAAAGGTCATGTCTGCATACTTGGACTACAACCCTTTCACATAGGTTTAAGTGAAACTAATAGATTTAATATAATGTTAAGAGTTAACAAAATAGAGTAACATTTTCCACATCAACAACATTAATATTTTTATTACTACTGTTATCATAACTACTTTGTGTTAGTGGTCTCTACTCAATTAAATCTTTCAACCTGACTCGAGTACTGGGACCGACCTTGTAACCATTTTGTGCTTGTTATAGTTTTCATGCTACAACTTACAAATTAGTTAGCGAATGTTAACGAAATTTCACAGGTTATCAGTAAACATTACAATGCTTTCATATGCAAAATATCTATTTTTTATTAAGTCTTAAATTTGTAAAGCAACGTTTTTCTCATGCTTTTTTTATACTTATCACATTTTGCCTATCTATCATGCAAAGTAATTTTCATTTTAAGATTGAAAATACTTTTACGCATCAAAAAAAATTGAAATTTCACATGCAAAATCTTTATAGTCTGGATAGTTATCAAACATTTGTTAGGAAAAAAACTTTATTTTTTATCTGTTATTTTCAGTAATTAATCTCTGTACAGGTTTGGTAAATTTGACCGACCTCACAACCACCATAAAAAATTAGGAAATAAACATAAATTATGCCTCTTTCATTCTAGAATGAACACAAATTATAACACAAAAACATAAATGTTTAGATGAAATAGCTTAAATCTCATAACATTATACATTTAGATATTTGAAAAGGTTTTTTGTTGCACAAAACTTGAAGATAGCTTTTATATATGGAAAGATCTGTTAGCTGAGTTCTTGCACAGATCTTAAAATATAACGTTGATAAATGGAAACATCGGCACATGTAGATACGTAGATCTCAAAAGACGAGTTCAAAACTAGAAAATCGCATTGATAACTGGACCAATTGTTGGTTGAGATGTTGCAAAAGAAATATCTGCTGAAGCTTTTTGCCAGACTCTAATTATAGCAGAACCGTCTGGAAAATGATCTATAGGAAATAGTACAACTTATAAAATGAGTCAGATCAACGTAGGCCAGTAAGGCAATCACTGATTGGCATGTCCTTTGGCCAATCAGGAAATGTCACAGACCTACTGAAGGATGTGTAGATTGTATAGGAATTATTTTTGGCAGCAAAGGACAGGTTTATGTGTTTTAATAAAGGTGGCTCCCAAAATATAGAGATGAAAGGCCGACCGACCGTTTACAATAATTTCAAACCTGTTATCCGGGTAGCTGTCAGCACAAGTCGGGTTAACTAGTAAATGCTGGCCAATTGCCGATTCACATTTTGGTGGTAGAACTTTTTTTTTACAGTAGCGATATGGTTTCTGTTTGGTTTTCACTAAAATATATCTTATTGTCTTGTAATATTTCCACCAGATATCTATGTTGAACTTTTTGGCTATGCATCTGAGTTTTTCACTGAAATTTTGCATCTAGGGGAGGTAATTAGCAGTAGTGGTGTTCTTATCTTTTCTTTCTTCTTCAGGAAGTTCTTGATGAAGGTAGAGGTGTAATTGTTCTGTTTAAAACACTCTTTGATCTTTTGTTGTTCTGTATTGATGGATAAATGTTTTCTGCTCTCAAGCTCAGGCATTGGATTACACCACGTTTTACCAAGGTTGGATGACAGGACTGGAAATGTAGGTATCTGACAGTGTGGGTGTGTTTTCTGCTGATGAGTATGTCAAGAAATATTAGGCTGTTTGTTCCTCTATTTCCATTGTGAACTGGATTCTTTTGTCTCTAGAACTGAGATGTTCTGTGAAGACCGGCAAGTTTTCATGATCGTGGGGCCAGATAACAAGTGTCATCAACACGGCGTCTATAAGAACTTGGTTTTATTTGTGTGGAGGAGGTGTAACAATCAACCCTAAAATAACCTGGCATACACATTTCAAGAAAATCAGCAAAAACTTAAAACCAGAATAGCATACCTTTGTAAAAGAAGCCATCACACTCATGGATGCAGACCACAAATTATAACTTGTATATACAAAACATTCATTAGACCCTTAATAGATTATGGCTAGATGGTAACATGCAACATGAATCAATATCAATTCCCTACAATACAAAAATTACAAAACCACGTGATATGTCTAGCCCATTGCCTACCTCACTTCACATCATCATGCTATGTGGAAAAACACACCACACTACAAACAGTACAATAACGCATAATTAAAATCGCTACTACATATTACAAAAAATCCACCAAACGAAACTCCTTAACATCCGATTTTCATAAAATCACTGCCACCCCCCAAATCTTGGTGCAAACACCTATCCTCATTCAACCTGATACATGACAATACTAACCCTTCACCATGATCTTGAAACTTAAACCTGTTGAATTTTATGTATAACTTTTCACTCGGGCACTAGCCGGGTTTTATTTGGATCTACAGGTCCCAGCCATGTCATTGGGATTTATTGATCCAGGCCAGGCCCTGAAAAGGCTTGTTTGTTTGATCCTTTGTGAGCAATCAGTTCTCAAATTATCTTCTTTTCCTACATTTCAACCTGCCTCAACTCAACTTCACCTTTGCCTACCTGCCTTGAGATTCTTATTTAAAACTACAGCCCAGTTAGAATCAGCACGCTTGGCTTGAACAGACTCCAATAACCGTCAGAAATTTATAATTTTCAGTCTCGTGCAGGGTAAATGAAGATTGCTTAATCTTCAAACACCCTTGATAATAAATTATTTCTGTCAAATGAATTAATTTTACATCAAAACAACTTCCAGACAAAAACAAAATACATACACCTGAAGATGAAAACTTTCAAAACATGGTCCAATGTGTTTTTCTACAATGGGCAGTTGCTGCCCATTCCATTGTACTATCATGCTTTGTTTTTATTTGATGTTTCATCCCCCTCCCACCCTTCATTGCTGCTATTTCTAAGAGAACCTTTGAAACATCAATTTATAAATTCAAATCCTTGTATTTTTCTGGGAAGGTTAATATTTTATCAATTTCACCTGTTTAAAGTTAGAGAACATAAGGTAAAAAAAATACAAATATCTGTGTTATCAAATCATAAACCTTATTTAACATATCTAAAATGTAACATTTCTCTTTGCTAACCTCAATTAATTGTGGGCAAATGCAACAATATTTCCAGATGTCATCACTCATAAAATGCCACTAGATGCGACTATTTCCTATTTCCCAAATTAAGTAATAAGAGAAATAGGAAGCTAACCCTGAAGTCTAGATTTTGTTCTGGATACATACACAAGACTTGATGTTACTCTCTCAAGCATAGACACTACTTGAAAGAACTTTGATTATAAAGAAATAAATCTCAAATAAATTATGTACTAAACTTTACTACTCAAATGACTAGGGTGGGAAAGGTTCAAACAGACGTATCTCCTCTCTACAGTTTAATTACTGCAAGCAAGTGATTAGTTTTCACAATCACAGTCAGAGATATGGTCCTCTTGCCAATGTAAAAAGAGAACAAACACAGCAAATGAAATGTGATTGTAGGTGAAAATCATGGCTTAATTTTTTACAAAAACTGCAACACTACATTAAAATGAATCATAGAAAGGACATACACAATCTAAGTATAAGTTATAAAATTTCTGTCGTTAAATTTTCTATATTTACAAAAATTTTTACTAAAGCTCCACATTATATATATCTAATAGGTGTAATTTTTCTCACACATAAATAATGAAATATGTGATAATTTTTAAATTCAAAATAGTGGCACAATGGATTTCACACCATTGGTTTCATCATGTGTCAACAAATATGTAAATTAATATCAATTGAATAGTATCCACTGTTTATAACAATTCTATGGCAAAAACATAGTTTTTAGTCTAGTTGAAATGTGACTTCAAAAATGAACAAGTTATTGGGATAAGGATTGACCAATTGAGAAAATGTAGCCAAGTTAGTAGAAAATAAATCTTACCTTAATCACTACCTTCTTCTCTACATCCCACCACTTGATAGTTCTGCTGGCAGATAACAAATTATTGGAATCTATAGGACATACTGAATAAACGCTGTTCCGATCCCCTTTCCATTTGCTGAAAGAGAGAACAATACTTAGCTGGTTCCCAAGATATCCATTACTTTGTCCAATATGTATTAAGACTCACTAAAACATAAGCTACATGACATTGAAGAATATATATATATATATATATTGATATTTAATAGAGATAGAGTACTAAAGAGAGAGAGGGAAGAGTGGCTCTATATGTAAAAACACAGTAGAAAAGACCACAAAATGTGGAAAAATAGTGAAAAAAAGTGTTCAAAACTGATAAAACACGTCTATAACAAAAACTTTATTATTATTTGCAGTGTTTCAGGCAGAAGCCTCTTGTCAGGCAGTTTAAACTTTGTTACATAGAAGAAAGGCTTAGACAGAAGCATAGATGGGTTAGAATATTAAGAGATTCTAAATTAGGTATATACTGCATGGAACACATTAACAAAAATGATGTATGTAAAAATGAGAGTTACATCCTGTTGAAGTTGAGGATATAAAAGATAACAGCAAGGAGATTGAATCCATTTGAGTTTCTATTAGCAGATATAAAGGGAAAAAGCTTTTCATGGGGCTTTTGTAGACCACCATATGATACTAATGCAAATCTTGCTATATTTCATTCCAACAATAAAACTAGTAGATGAAATTGTTTGAAACTTCATAAAAACTTTCATAAATGCACGTTGTTTAAGAAATATTAAGCCTATTACTTTTGATAAATTTAGTTTCTTTGCATTATTATCTTTAATATCTTGGAAAATTACATTAGGAAATGGTATTTATAAGAAATGATTACGATATTTATATTTGTTGCAGATTTGAACTTATTACTTTTTATGTTTTAGTCAGATAAACATTTATTTGTGTGTGTCTCGTGGTATGTTGAATGCAGAACTGGTTCAAATTAGATGTTTGTAATGTTCAAATATAGTCTATAGTTTCTTACAAATTAGGAACTCAAATTACAGATATTGACAAGCTAGAATATAAAATAAGAACCTCCTATCTGTTCTATTTGCTGAGATATCACTGCATTTATTGCCTCAAACATATTGGCTCTGCCCACCTCTTTTCATTTTTAGAAACACTTGCTCATGTACACCTACTTCTTTCTATGATGCGTGAACAACCAATTCCCTCTTTAGGACTCTTTCTTTTTATTCTAGATTTCAAGCAGTAAGGTAAGACATTAGTGAGCTAAATTTCATATTTTTTTAGACCCAAATACAGCTAAGTTACTAAGCTTGATAAATTATAGAATTCTATGGTATTGATATATTGTATATATTTCAAAGTGTATATGTAAAACCTTAAAGAATTATTTTGTTTCATATCCTCCACATGCGAAATTTTAAAAGCAGCAGTTGAGTACAAAGTTTGTAACTAGAAGAGATAATTGTTTGCTATATTTCTTTATTTACTGTTCTATGTTTTATGAAAAATAAGTTTAAGAACTTATTTTTATATAGCAATAATCTATATACATATATAATGTATAATAATTGAAATGTGACTGTATTTTACAAAATACTAGTCGACTAAAACACAGTCAAGACAAGTTACTTTGTAAAGACTAAAGTTTAGTTTTATAAT